TAGTTTAATAATAATAAATTCTAGTGTATTCAGTGCGTGTACTTGTGTTTGAATTATATGCAATAATAGTTTAATAATAATAATAATCAATTTTCGTGTTGCAGGTCGATCAGTCGTAAGGATCTGGTTGAGTACATCACGACTCATTACAAGGGACCGAACATTGTCCTCGCTGCAGCTGGAGGTAGCTGTTTATCTCATCCCTGACCTCTGTTTGTCCTCTACCTAATGCATGTCTGTTTGCTGTCTGTTATCTGTCTGTCCTCTACCTAGTTCATGTCTGTTTGCTGTCTGTTATCTGTCTGTCCTCTACCTAGTTCATGTCTGTTTGCTGTCTGTTATCTGTCTGTCCTCTACCTAGTTCATGTCTGTTCGCTGTCTGTTATATGTCTGTCCTCTACCTAGTTCATGTCTGTTTGCTGTCTGTCCTCTACCTAGTTCATGTCTGTTCGCTGTCTGTTATATGTCTGTCCTCTACCTAGTTCATGTCTGTTCGCTGTCTGTTATCTGTCTGTCCTCTACCTAGTTCATGTCTGTTTGCTGTCTGTCCGCTACCTAATGAGTGTCTGGTCCCCATCACTTCTGCTCCTTCCTAATGCACGTTTGTTTCCCATCTCTTTTTTATCTGCCCCCTTTCTAATGCCAGCCTATTTCCCATCTGTTCTCTGATTGTCCTTTGCATATTCATGTCTGTACCCTCCCTGGTCTCTGTTAAATTTTTTTCTCCCTATTCTCTGTCTCTCCTCTGCCTAAATCATGGTTTCCTCTCTGTTTTTGGTACGTCTCCTGCCTAAATCATGCCTATTCCCTCTCTTTTATTGATCTGTTGCCTCCCTATTCTCTGTTTGTACCTCCCTGCCTCCCTTCTCCTCGCCTTCCTTCTCGCCGCCTGTTCCGTCTCAGAAGTGCTCTCACACGTGGCTGAGTAATAAAGCTACCCCACCTACGAACAACATGTCTGTTTCAATTACATTCGAGTTTGTAACAACAGTGTCGTGATGGCAAGCGGTTATTTCTCCCTGTACTAGGTGTCAACCACGAGCAGCTGGTGGGACTTGCCGACAAGTACCTCGGTGGTTTGAAGCCGATGCCGGCGGGCCAGACCCATCACCTGCAGCCCTGCAGCTATACGGGCAGCGAGGTGCGTTGCTCTTTCCCGCGCCTATGTGGAACATAGGCGCATAGGGCGGTGCCTATCTCCGTTTTCAGCAACCCCGAGGCCCCGCGGCTGCTTTCACAGTAAATGCTACAGTAGGGGGTTAGTCCACTGGTAGCACTGCGAGTTAACTTGCCACACTCTATCTCTATTTGCTGAATGCTAAGCAGAGAAGCCGTGTGTACAATTTTTCAAGTCTTTGGTATGACCCGGCCGGGAGGTGAACCCCCGACCTTCCACATGCGAGGCGAGCACTCTACCATTGAGCCATCGCTGCTTCCGAAGTGCATTAATTACGCCGAATGTCCATCGTCACAAGGTCGTCCAAGGGTCAAAGTTCAGTGGTTGGAATAGCTGGTCTGGGGTCAAAGTTTGGTGGATAGAATAGCTGGTCTGGGGTCAAAGTTCAGTAGATGGAAAAGCTGGTCTGGGGTCAAAGTTCAATGGGTGGAAGGTCAGGTCCAGGGTAAATGTTTAGTGGCTAGAAGGGCAGATTTCATACTACACAACAAGGTTTATCATGCTATGCTATGCTATGCTTTAGTTTATGGTGTTCTGCACCTTCCTCACCTTCTAGTCTGCTGTTCACAGTTCTGCACCTTCCTCACCTTCTAGTCTGTTGTTCACAGTTCTGCACCTTCCTCACCTTCTAGTCTGTTGTTCACAGTTCTGCACCTTCCTCACCTTCTAGTCTGTTGTTCACAGTTCTGCACCTTCCTCACCTTCTAGTCTGTTGTTCACAGTTCTGCACCTTCCTCACCTTCTAGTCTGCTGTTCACAGTTCCGTCACTCGGATGACAGCATGCCTCTCGCTCACATCGCGCTGGCGGTCGAGGGGGCTGGATGGGAGAACCCGGACACGATCCCGCTCATGGTCGCCAACACAGTGAGTCACGCGCGCATCACGGCATATCCCTGTCGGGCCTCACTTTTCATTTTTTGTCTCGGCTGCCATTTTTCATTACCGGAGATGATAGCGAGATTAACGAGATTTAACGAGTGTTAACGAGATTTAACGAGTGTTAACGAGATTAATGATCGCGATTTGTTTGCGGCATTCCGGTAATTTATATTAATTATTTTTAATTTAGTTTATTTTTTTTGCTGCTTTGGTAAATTCGTAAAAAACTACCAGGTGCGATTTTAAGGTCGTATTATGCGTAGAAGTCGCGGATGGGCAAACTTGATTTACTGCACGGGAGTGTGCTGGACGCCGGGGAGAAATGTCATTGCTGTCACATGCGTCGTCGGCCAGAAGAAGTCATGATTGGACAGCAAGGGTGACGTATGTGACGTGTGTGACATTTTCTCCCGCGTCGTAGATCAAACACAATCTAATATGGATAAAACGGATCCAATATGGATCTAATGTAAGATGGAGGAGGGTGTGTACTTGTTCGTATCACGTGTCTTCCAATCGTTTGCAGATCATTGGTATCTGGGACAGATCTCATGGAGCAGGAGGGGTGAGTCACTTACCACTACAACCAGTGGCATAGTTAGGGAGGGGGAAAAGGGGGCC